GTATGTTAATTTCATAACTTGTGGTAAACAATCAATACTTAAACCTTTATTATGAGATTTTGATTGCATAAGTGCTATAAATAACAACTTTCACGTCTTAAACGTAATAAACACATGATATTTGTATTATTATAATGAATATATGAATTGTATAACATTTTTGTTGTTTTGATTAACATTTAGACGTCAAAACCTACGCTAAATATGGAGAAGTTTTATTAGAAATCTATTAAAGCAAATGTTATGCCATTTGGAAACTCGTTTCGTGTAATTTAAATAATGGAAAAACGATGAATGAATTGATTCCTTAATCAAAACAACATATATTACACAGAAATTGCATTTTTTCTATACAATCGGCGATCAATCAAATCATTTGTTTGCGTTAATCTCATTTAGAAAGCACTCAATCAGTTAAATGAATCGTTTAATTAATAAAAATATACATTTTATCATATATTCAATACATTTGTTATTTTGTTACAAACTCTGTCTGTAATTATTATAATTTAATTCCTGGTAATTACATGTAATAACAGTTTAATAAAACTTTTATTGAATTTTTCAGACAAAGAATACGAACAATAAGTTATAGTATTATAACATAAAATACAAGCTATGAATCGATTGAAGTGACGCTAATTTGTTACTTTTGTCACTAATAATATTGTGAATATTGTAAGAAATATTCACACAATTCCTCCACTTTGTTATTAATGTCATTTAAGAATACAATTATTCATTAAATATCAATAAAAAAAAATAGCAAAACTTTTATGTGTTAAAAATTCAATGTTATAAATAATTAAATATATTAAATTTCAAATATAAATGTTGTTTTGTTAAGAATTTATAAGTTTTAATGAAAGGGAAAAACTTTAAAATACATACTTCTGGTTCGTCTGATGTGGGAATGTCTGGCGACAAGTGATTAGAAGCAATGTCTTGGATGTGGTCTTCGGATGGAAAGGTGGGATTCAAGCGAATCTTAAGAGCGGATCCGTTGCCGACATAACGGTAGACCCGATCGTCGCGGACGACCACTCGGGGATCGCAAATGACTGAAACCATGATTGAGATCAGAATTGCGTTGAGAAAAGTCTCAAACATAATGATGCAAATGATATGGAGATCATTGAAATGTGGGGCAAATGTATTGACAAATCAATTATTATTATTAATTACAAGAGATATGACACGAAAGAGTAGTTCAGTTGTCGCACATCTCAGAGCGAAAGCAAAGGTTAAATGCATTGACACTTCTGTGCGAATGAATGAATGAATTGGCGGTTCGAGTATTGAAATGCATATCTCGTCAAACATGAGTGCATCCCATAGAGAGGCAGTCAGAGTGTGGAAAGTCTGTGAGTCTATGAGTCTGTCTAACAATCCCACACACTATCCGATACTGACTATCGCACCGACACGTAATGAACGCGCGTTTCAATGCAACCACTCTTTGCACGCACTCTACTCTATGCCAACTCTCACACACAGACACACACCTCAACTATCAATGCATACAATCGTAAACTCAGCAAAAAACACAATGAATACAACAAACAATCATTGAAAATGTTGTCATAACAACTAATAATATGATATACCGGTTGCCGGCGATGATAAAAAAGTTTTTTATTTATTATTTTCCATTCGTTACAACTCTATGCAAATGTATATGTATTTGTAGTACACATGAAATTGAATGGTGAGAACTTATGCTCCAAATGCATGCCATCCATCCATACAGACATACCTATCATATCGTTTGTCATGTATTCCCTTCAGTGACTCAATTAATTTGTATAACTTTTAGCAGTCGACACCTGAACCGCGTGTATAACCGTATACTATATTTACATGACTTTAGTGTTGCCGTACTTTTCTATTAATGTTTGTATTCCTCTCCAATGCAACTGAAAAACATAGAATAGTTTTTTCAGTTAGACTTCAATTACACTTTTGACAAAAGTCATACAATTCAGGAAAATACAAATAAAATTGCAATAAAAAACATTGAAATAAACGATAATAAAAAAGTCAAAACATTATTACGAATGTTAGTAATCAATCATTTGACTTATTTTGTTGGAAATTGCAATGAATGGTAGGACCGGTTGATTACCTGCACGTGTGGTCATCGAAATGAAGTCCAGTGGAGCAAAGTTTGGTGTGAATGCATTTGCACCGGCATTCGCTAGAATCCCATACTCTATAAGCGTTATTGAGTCGACACTCCATCTGATCCTTTGTGTTAAGACATTCACATTTGCATAACTCTGGCCTATATTTATGAATATATGGGTCGCAATCGGTTTGTTTGACTCTACACTCGCACCGGCATTCCTCGTGTTCCTCGACGTTAGTTGAGTGTTGCGAGAGGTTAGGAACGGCCCGTCCGTCCACTGATCTCCTAATCCTGATGTGAGCTCTTTTGATGATTTTGTACGACTTTTTGGTTGGAGTGCACTCTAATAGCCGGGAGGGTCCGCAACAGCCGCCGCACCGTTTGATACGAACACATTTGGGGAAAAATATGGAGTTTTGGTTGCCTTCGGGTGACTCGAGTTCCACAGCTCTCAGTTCTGGAGCGCAAACCGCTTGTTCTCCATATGACTGTCCTTTTAGACGACCGCTTATAATAACACCAAACTCTTCGAGCAATTGGTTGACATCAGTTGCATGACTCGCACGAATCAATGCCGACTCCAATGTGTCTCTCATTGACTTTAATACAAAATATTGATAATTTAGTAATTGTTCAGCAAATGAGACGAACAGAAACTTATGAATGCATTCAAAAACAAACCATTTGGTCAAAGGACTGGTCGTGTGATGCCATTGGAAATACGATTGACCCGCTATGACTCAAATTGTTGTGTTTAACTAATTGCTGGCTTTTAATTAGTAAATAATGATTTGAAATCAATAATAACTTAAAATATATAATTAAATACTTCATTCTCAGTGCGACAGTCACTGGAAACTAAGATTAATTATCTACAATTCATTTGATGAATTGTATTAATGCAATTGCATAATAGTGTAAAGTAGTTATCCTCCAAACCACTACTTCTTTCGCTCAAAATTCATAGGAATTTCCCAAAACCTTCACTCAAAGTGACAGTAATTGACGGGAAGTTCTCAATCAATAAAAACAATTGAATTCAAAATTAATTATTTTATTGAATAAAAGAAAGTATTGTTTACATCAATGCATATTAAATCAATTAGTTATTAGGAAAACAATATAATTCATTTTCATTGCACATAACAAATGTAATCACAAAATGGATTTAAAGACAATCAGTATTTGGTTAGAATTAAAACATTGAAAATTGCTGTCAAAAAGTTTCATTAATATAAGTGCAAAAAATCCAAAATATCACAAAAAAATGTCAATTAAAAAAACCATTTTAAAAATCAATTCATTCACAAAAAAGTTAATATTGAGATAAAAAAAAGGAAATAAACAAAATGAATGGCTGTCTAACAGAAATACATCTTCGACTTGAAGTCAGCATTAATCTTGATCTTATCGCTGAGAACGTCGTCTCCACCCACGCCGTGACGACGAGGCGCTGCCATTCCTCCGGCCACCGATGAGCCGCCAAAAGAGCCCGAATCCGAATCGTCGCTCTGTTTGAAGCCAATGATGTGTCGTTGAGTGCGATAAGCGGCCAAATGTGCGTACGCTATGGGCGCCGGGTATGAGA